TTGAGTCTTTACCTAAACACTGATGCTGGCCTGGTTACTCACGTCAAACCAGAACTGCTGTGGGAGAGATGAATGAGATCAAACTGTGGCCTTGAGTTTTCTTTTTTACTTAAGAAATGTGATGAAACCTTCGGTCACTTACTAATAAGGTTTAGCTGTTGCTGGTTTAATTCTCTGGAAGAGGGGACCACAGTGGGGCTTTGGTGACCTCAAATCATTTCACTTTTGAACTTTGGACAAATTCATTTGCAACTCTGAATCACAGACACTGCTTTTCTCACTCATCTCACGTCTTTGGAGTTCTCTCAATGCAAGAGTATGGGAACACTTGCAACACGCATAAACTCTGACCACTTATGAAGACAAAGACCTCTATGTTGGGGACCTCAAAACTGTCTTGGCAGTCCTTGCCACTGTGTGGCTGTAGGAGGGACTACTCATCTTCCTATTTTCCCTTATTGAACCTCTCTCAAAGTAACGCTGAAACCTATATTTTTTGGCAACACCACAGAGACACTGATCAGCTGTTACAGTTTTTGTGGCATTTTGTGTTTGTCATTGTCTCTTAACAATGAGGAGATTTGTTCTGTTTTCAGCCCTTGCCCAAGGAAGATAAAGAACCTCCATAATTGTTAGGAGCAGCACTTGCAGCTAAGAATCAATTTCCTCTCGGCTATTTTTTTTAAGGTTACAATACAGACAGTGTCATGTTCATAAAGACATGCACAAACTCTAGTGTCTTTGCTACCTTTCTCCACATTTCTCCTCATATTTTTTTCTCCTTGTCCGTGTTCATTTCTCCTCCTCCAGCTGAGCTCAGAGTTCTTGATATTGTTGGAGGGGAATGTGCAATAAATGTTGTTGCAATGCCTTTAGGGATACTAGCATTTTGGGATACTTTGGAATGGTACAGTGCTACATTTATCTGAACATCCGAGATCTGCAAGTGATCTTTAATTTGAATATCACAAAGAAAAACCACAAAAATGCTATTAAATTTGGATCTTTGTTTACGTTCACCCCTTTAATATTAAATTGCTCAAAAAATGGGGGTAACTGATGTGCATTTGATAGCTTCTAATGATAAAAAATATAAACTACCTCTGTTCCTGCTTCTCATTTTATTTTTCCAAGCCAAGATTAAGTCAAAGACTTAAATACAAAACAAACTGTGGTAATTTTGTATTTTTTGCAGTAAAATGTTACTGCAGCACAGAAACGTAAACCCTGCAGACCGCAGTTTGCATAGGAAAAAGCACATCTGTCTCTTCATCATGTGCAGCGCTGAGTGACTACAGTTATTGTTCATGATCAAATATACATCAGAAAATCAGCTTTCGAAGATTTAGAAAAAAGGTTTATCATTAGCATGTGTGCATTTCTGAACACACATGGTTTTCTAATAGGTTTCATTTATCGTGTTCACAATATGTTCAGCACATACTCAAACAATCATGAATATAGTTCAAAAATAATGTAAAAGCATGAAAATTTTGGTTATATGGCTTTCTAACAAAGGCTACAGTGATATATATAGTGATCTCAGTAGTTGGCTCAACAGTACAGTTGCCTGAACAATCAGTATACTAGTCATTTTACATGGAAACGTATTTTTCTTACAGTTTTGTTCACAGCATGAAGTGCAGAGATTATGGTTCTCTTCAAAAATTGTATAATTGAAATTGTTCTCCCTGTTTATAATTGGAAATATCTGAATGAGATTGATTGTGACTCCACGACTTTGTATTTGGTCCTGCTATTTGAATGTATTTGATGTTTACTCACAGTAATATATGTGCCAGTGTTGTTTTCCTCTGCGTCCTGTGTGTTTCAGTTGAGCCCAGCTGCACATGTTTTCAGTACAAACTGTTTACTCGGTTTTTCTTTCCCCTTTTATTTGGCAGATTTTTAATTTAGAATGTGGAAAAATGTCTGCAGCCAGAGAGTAAATCAAATAATCGGTTCACTTCATTCCCCTATTTTCATTTTTCATATTGGAGGTGATTTTGCCAACACTTCTGGCATGTGTTGGTTAAATAAACACAGAAGAACAATTGAAATGTCAGTATTGTTTTATATTCCAGTCACATATTTAACATTTTAAGGTTAGGTTAAAGGTTTAAGGTTTTTTTACACTGTGGTATAATTTATCTTACTAGCCAGAGATATGATTTTGGGAAACTCTTTGCAAATTACATTAATTTTCTCAGATTGTTGTCACTGTGCGTAATTTGGTTTATTATAACTATTTTGTGATATTAAAGATTTCAAAATAGATTTGGCTGTTTTTGTTTGCTGCCTGCAGGAGCTGCTGTCTTCCGTTCAACCTTGAAAATAACCTTCAAAGATTAAACAAGAAATGTGATTTTTTTTTTTAAATTTTGTACCAGGCGATTTTGTTTCAAAATTAACATTTATTGTTCTCTCTTTATTTGACAAAATGTTTCCTGAACATGTGTAATTTCCTTCATTTTCAGAGGCACAGCAGAACGGTGTAGTTTCTCTGCTTGACAAGCAGGTGTCACCAGATGCTTACTGTTACACTATATGGTTGTACCACTGCCGACATTAAATTGTCATCAGTTGGTGTCAGGCCCATGCAAGGGTGGATTTCATCAGAGAACTTGATTTGGTAATAGTTTTGTCAGGAGCAAGATATTAATTAACTTGATTGGCTAAGATAATGTGTATTATTTCCCCTTTGAATCACCCATGCCTTTCGATTAAGATCACAAAGGAAAAACTAGGTAGGTAGGTAACTTTATTTGTATCTGTAGGTAAATTTGGATAGCAGTAAAAGAGTCACCAGTCTTACACATAAACATTTAACACACATCACAGACAACACCAAATGCACAGGGTAAATAAAAATAAATTAATTGATTAAAACATTGCATCTATGCGGTGTCACTACAACTTATCATGTGAGAGATGGCTGCTGGAACAAAGCTCTTTTTACCATTTTGTTTACTGTTTAACAGTTGTGCGTTGTCATTTAAAATGGAGCTCATTAAAGCCAGATTTCCAAACTATGACACCAGAGAGAAAGATAAAATCGATTCAACAAAATCAAGTAGAATAAAATCATCATAGTCTTGTCAATATGGAAATACAACAGTTTTCTCAGACGCTTCACAATTTGCCTCAAAGTTCAATTTTGTGTCAATAATCGTCCCAAGGTGTTTGTAAGATTGAACACAGTGACTGACCTTTACTGGATGTGACTTCATGTGTGTTGGCACGTCTTCTGAAATCAATTACCATGTCTTTAGTCTTAGATACTGTATGTGCAGTTGAAGGTAGGACTCTTAACACAACTTGACAAAGTTGTCTATCTCATCTGCATACTTAAGAATGGTCCTTTTTTCATACGTGCTCTGACGTAGATTTCTGTAGAGGATAAATAAAAGTGGTGAAAGCACTGCATGGGATCAAGTACATGCTCAGTTTTCTTAAACATTTCGGACCTTACCAGTTTTTCGAGGGAATAATAACTTATTCAAACCTAAAAGGCAAAAAAAATTCTTTTTTTTTTTTTCTTTTTTTTTTTTAAACTCTCTGTCAACCAGTGGCTGCCAGTCATGACTGAATGGCGAATACATGGTTCAGGTGTAACTGGTTTGTTCTGCGGCTAATCAGGTCAGCCTCAGTGAGAAATGTCATTAAGGTAAGATTATGGTCATTGGTGATCCTTCCCTTTGCCTGTCAGCCTTCCTTCCTCTTCAGCATAATGCTGTACCTTCACAGGACTGATCTCTATATGTTGCACTCAGCTGTATCATGATGTACTTGAATGTTCTTTGCTCTTTAACTGTATTCACAGCAGAATAGATGTGCATCAAACCACAAACCCTGCTCTAATAAAGCTTTGTTCTGAAGAAGTCCACCAAACCTTAAATCCACTTAAAAAATATTATGTAATGCTTTACTCAAGCCTACAGTGCATGTTCACAGTACACAGACCTTAAATTTTATAGAAAGGAGTGTTAGGTCTCAGTTTGGATATTTTTACTACTATTAATTTATTTTTTATTCCTTATCCACCCCCTTTTATAAAAGTAATGTAGCGATCAGAGGGGGGAGTGTTCACTCTGATTGGAACAGTTTGAGCTGGTTAGCGCAAAGGCTCATGGGACTGTTAATGTTTGCAATGAAAGCCATGTTTTAGTGATGTTGTGTGCATGTTTAATTGTGTTATGTGAGTTTCCAGGTTATATGGCTTTGCATAGTGTTAAGTTTGATGTTAACTTTAATTATCAGTGTAGCCACCATGACTGAGTTCCCTGGTGTGTTTAATTACCTCTGGCCAGTATTCATGTATAGAGTGGTTGACTCTGATGTTAATAAATAGCACCTCCTGTAGTCGTGCGGTGTAAGGGACACAGGAGTTGTACAAAGCAGAAATCTGTCTCAGTTTACCTTCTTCCACGTGAGCTCGCCACAGTAATTTTGTTCAAATACCATTCACATTAAATATAGAGGTCTCTTTCTTGGTGATACTGGTACAGATATGTGACAGTTAGACATCCACACTGCCACATGGTGTAACTACAAGAAAAGTCCATTAGTACAAAGTGAGAGTATCTGAGAATCTATTCATAGGTTAGTGTACATATACAGTACTGTGCAAAAGTTTTAGGCAGGTGTGCAAAAATGCTGTAAACTAAGAATGCAATTGTGATAATACTGTAGAATGTGTGTGTTTGCTTTACTAGAGGTTCCTCTGATACCTTTCCATTATTTACATTACTGATTTTGGCTGTGTTTAAAATTCCCTCAAAATTTCATTAGAACATCCCTGACCAGAGACAGACTCAATGTGTGCGTGTGGCCCAAAGCCTTCCTACTATTGGCTGTGCTAAAGCTTGGCAGTTTGGAGTAACTGTAGGCTCGTTTTAGCCTCAGATTAGCCGTATTCACGGCAACACCCCCACCCGCCTTCCCCCTCTGTCTCTCAGGTTCAACAGCACTGCCTCTTTTTAACCCCTGCTGTTGTCCGCCGCCCACTCATCGCTTTTATTGTCAGGACAGCAAACCGGGGACTTTTAACTCTTTACTCCATTTAACCAACTTGTGTGTGCGTGTGCTTTTCTTTGGTGCATCGGCCAGATGGAGGACTACCATAAACCAGACCAGCAGACAGTGCAGGCGCTCAGGAACATCGCCACCCGGCTCCGGATCAACTCCATCAAGGCGACAACTGCAGCGGGCAGCGGGTAAGAGCAGGGACAGTGAGAAATTAATCCGAGCTGGGGGTTTATGGTAGTAGGACACAACAAAACATGGTCACTGTCCTGCCCACTTACTACACATTTCATGAACGCGTTGAATGTTTGAAGGAGAAATTATAAAAGTAGAAGAGAAATGCGTAGTGAGAGCTGGTCTACTCACTGCTCGCAGCAGACAGTGTGCAAGAAAACCAGCAGTATAAAGCAATGGATGGGTTTGTTAAACAGCAGAGGGAAACTATCTGCGCCATGCATGATGTCCCCAAACTTCAGCGTTTTCAGTATAGTATACACTGTGCGTAAAATAGCTCTTTTCCAGTTTTTCCAGCTTTGTGCGCAATTTACGCAGCTCTCCAGAGAGGGGAGTTGTTAGATGTGAAGGGTCACTGTGTATTTACTTGTGATTTTCGCATCTGGATTCTAGTTTAAGAACGTGTTAAGGTTCAGAGAGCAATCAGACTTCAATCATTTAATAAATGGGTAGGTTTGTTTTGCACAACCACTCTTTCACAATAAAATATTCACCGAATCGACTCAGACTCAAACTGCTGCAGCAGGTGCACCAGGGTTCCGCTCTCTCTTAACCCCTTGCGTGCTCAATGGGTAATGTAACAGCAGGAGCAGAGACCGGATCTGTGCGTGATCCCATGCAGTCAGTGGTGCTGCTCGTGGGGCGACGTGGTGTGTGGAGGCAGCAGAATGGAACCGGGAATCGCACGAAGGCGCTTGTGCCGCGCCTGTATGAGACGTTGCAGCTTTTTACACCAGCGTCAAGAGACAGAATTAAATCGGCACAATGCGTCCGGTGTTAAATTTCAAAATAAAACACGAATTGACAAACAGCAACATTTTTCGAATGAGAGAAAATAACATAAGGAAATGAAATAATAAAATAAAACAAAATTAAAAAGAAAGTAAATTATAGGATACGTGAAACTATATGAGACTGTAATTTCGGTGCGCTTTTTTCACCATCAAAGCTGACTAACCCACTTGCCAAAGGCTACACCTGGCGCCATGATCAGTTATGACTGAGTTCTAGATAGGCTAGTTTTTTTTTTTTAAGTCATTTGAGAAATGCTCCCAGTGAAAGGCTGTATGACTGAGTGGGCTTGAACACACAAGCCTACAAGCACATCTGTTCCTAGCAACAATGGGACTGAGACTTAAGTAGCTGATTCCACATTGATCAAAATATATCATCAAAAGAAATTTCAGTTTGAGCTTGCAAACATAAACCACATACAGTAAGGTATGTTGAGTAGATGTGTGCTGTATAGAAAAGGCCTGTTGATAGCCATATCTAAGCTCAGCTCTTCCTCCTAAACTCTGTCTGACAGAGAAGAGGAAAGAAAGTGGTGATACAATGAAAAAAATAAAATGACTGTATTGGTTATATATTTTTTTTAAACTGTTCTTAAGATTACTCAAAATTATGAAGAAAATATTTATAATTTCTACTGAGGACACCAGTTAATTCTCATATCTGTGATCATGTTTGTGTGTTTTATTATGATTATTGTTATTATCCTTATTGTTATGTTTTTTGGGTTTTTTTTTACTTCATTAAAGTCTGTGTTCATGTTTCAACAGAAATCTCAATAATTATTCATTCCACACAACGTAATGATTATTCATTATCTTCTACTGTTTTTTGCTTTTGCTTATTTTTTATTATCTGAACACATCTTCTATTCCAGGACTGTAAGGAAAATGGTTTTAATGCAGGAGGCCTAATTGAGTGAGGTATTACTGGCATGGAGTTTGAAAATAAAGTGAAGAATAACATGCAAGACATACAAATTCATCATAACCTATTTTGTGTTAAGTTGTCACGACTCTAACAGTTCAGGACGACACACTGAAAAATTTCTTTGCACTGTATGTGCATGTATGCGTGTGCATGTATGAGAGAGAGTCATCCTCCAAATGCATTTACACTATTGTGTGTGTGTGTAAATGCATTTGGTGTGTGTGTGTGTGTGTGTGTGTGAGTGAGAGAGAGCGAGAGAGGGTCAGCTGTCACATCAAGTCTTATAGGAGGAATAAGAGCGTGGGCAGATGTGCAAGGGAAAATAGAACTGATATGGAAAATTACTTCTACTCATCTCTCTCCAATCATGTGTCTGTGGTGTTCTGCCTGCTGAGTGATGGAGAGCTATCCGAGGGCTCAGTGTGTGTGTGTGTGTGTGTGTGTGTGTGTGTTGAGAATAAACAGTATTTCACTGTTTATGTCTGGCATGAATTAACCCACTAGATCAAAGTTGACAGTCAGACTCCACTTCTGGCCATCTGTCTCCACTGCATCTGTGTGTACAGTTCTGGACATGCTTATAGGTTTGAGCTGAAGAATCAGCAGGAACTTGAGAGTTTTTTATTTGATTGCCTTGTGTCTAATTCCTCTCTCGCCACCCCTTTGTTGCAGTCATCCCACATCATGTTGCAGCGTGGCAGAGATAATGTCTGTCCTCTTCTTTCATACCATGAAGTACCGAACTGAAGACCCTCGTAACCCCAACAATGACCGCTTCATCCTCTCAAAGGTGAAATACACAACCACACACATCCATTTGGGTGGCAGGTGATGCATGCACAGATGCACCACACAAGAAACATCTAAAGCAACTGAGTTACTAATTATGAGCGGACACATAAAAATATTCAAAAATATGTGCATGCAGGTGCACATTCATATTCTTTGATTGTAGTGTCACCAATGTCCAAGTAACTCACATTGTTACGCCCGAGAGAAATAATGACACAGACAAGGCATTTCCACTTCAACTTGTTTGTACTCTAACCTTTGACCTTTGTACTTCTGCCTCCTCAGGGTCATGCAGCTCCTGTGTTGTATGCCTCGTGGGCAGAGACGGGCTACCTGAAGGAGAATGAACTCTTCAACCTCCGCAAGGTCGACTCGATCCTGGAAGGACACCCTGTGCCGGTGAGGTGACATTCAAACCTGCAGGAAGTTCTGGATCTGACGGCTCATATATTAAAACATACCAATATATATGAAAATACTTTACTACTTTACCTGTCATTCTGTGTGTTGATTTGGGATATCTTACAAGTATTTTGTGAAAGTAGCTTTGACAAGATTTTTATTTAGCATGTAGCTCTCTGTCAAACTCTGTGTTTAGATGTTTACTCTGTGTTTAGACAGTTTGGCCGAAGCCCTATTTGGGCTTCGGCCAAACTGTGTGACAGCATCGAAGAATCTTAAAATATTAATATGACATGACCAATCAAATATATGTGTCACTACATGTAGCCTTACTGAAACTTTCAAACATGCAGCCTTTTAAAAAAAAGCCTTCAGCCGTTTAGGATCATCTCATTCTTCTTGCTAAGAGAGAATATTTCTCACACTGCACTACAAACACACAACAGAAGTGAGATTTCAAGCACCAAGAGGTTTCAAGGTAAATCTCACTGTGATTAACAGGATGGTAAAAGAAATTATTAACAAAACTTGGGTTTATGTTGTCCAACCTTTGTGTAATCTTTGGCTTTTTCCCTCGAAAGATAGTTTTACCTCCTCAAGACAAAAATATACATATAAACACATGAACACACATACATAACAGACACACTGTGTACAAACAGGAACTTAGTGACAAAGATGTTCTTGTGTGACAGAGATGGTCCGTCCTCGCTCCTTTCTCTACTGCTGCACACATTAATGACACAGTGTTCACATGAACCCAGATACTGAAACACTGCCAGACACAGTCTGGAGCTACCGTCCCAACTGTTCCTGCTATTTTTCCTGCACATTAAAAAGATAAAAACAATCCATTCTCTGTATTTCATGCTTTCTGTATTTACAAACTACAATATGCAGAATGAGATACATGCTTTGTGTG